GATAAATGTCAAAGAATGTTTTCCCATCTTCCCACCAGTGTTTGAATGGTGGTTTGCTGTTCTTGTATTGTACTTTAGGGAGAGATGTGAACCCCCTTTTTTCATTTTACAGTTTCATTTACTCTGTACACAGTGAGAATGTTATGTCCCCATGGGGAGTGGAAGGCTTAGCTAATCCTACAAAGTGCTTCCTTCTTGGAAGGAGCTGCAGCAGAAATGCAAAGTTTTAATATCAGTTGGATATAAAAACAGCACACCTGGGAAAAGAGAAGACCTGCAAGATGCTGATGTAGTGGAGGAGAGGGACAGAGATAATGGGAGAAAAAACCAAGAGGACAAAAAAGAAAGTGGAGCTTGTTCCATCTCGTGTGCATTATGTACAGCTTACCGCACTCTTGGGGGGACTCTCAGCCCTGGTCACCCGAACCAGAGGACATCAGGCAAAACATAACACTGCAGAACTGCAGACATAAGCACTGGCTAAGAAAATATGGACAGACTTTAACCAATGAACAGATATACATTCATTGCTGAATTTTCAACCTTAGTTTGTCTTTTTCTTCAGAGGGCTTACAGCATCTTCTTTTCCAGGTATTGAAGCAGAGACCGAGGTTTGTTGCCTTGAAGAAGCAGCCTTCTTACATTGGCAGTGAGAACCTGGAGCTGCGCGATTACCAGCTGGAGGGCCTCAACTGGCTGGCTCACTCGTGGTGCAAGTATGTACAGATGCTATGTGATGTTCATTTTGTCTCCTTATCTTTGTCCCAGTAGGATCTGGCTCTCTTGTTTTCAAGTGAGGTTTTTACCTGTCCTGATCCTGCAGCTTGAAGGATTTCAAATGTTATCATGCCCAGCTACACTGCAGACACTGCAAGCAGGAACTATCTAGAGCATCAACTTAAGAAACTTTGTGTGAAAACAAAAAGCATGTTCCCTGTCTGGGCCTGTTCACATGCTGTATTTGGCTGCTGTATGAGCCTGGTGCATATCAGCCCTAATTTTCCATTGCCCTAACTGAAAAAAAGGTTTCTGCCTCGGCATGCTTGTGCGCTTGTTGAAGTCTTTGAGAAACGTCCTTCTAAAATTAAGGCCACTGACTCCTCTCTCCCTTTGTCCTTGCATGCCAGTTTGGAGTAATCATAGTTGTTCCCTTTTTGCAAGTTATTGTTCCATGTATAGTCTGCACATCTGTGAGATCCACTTGGAAGCACTCAGATAAATGTTTTTGCACTGCCCCCTTTCTGTCCCTGTCGAGGATTGCTACTCATCCTGGTGCACAGTAAATTAGTAGTGGCAGAAACATGCACTCAAACAGGATTTCTGTTTGTTCTCTCTCTTTTCAGGAACAATAGCGTGATCCTGGCTGATGAAATGGGCCTGGGCAAGACAATTCAGACGATATCATTCCTGTCATACCTCTTCCACCAGCACCAGCTGTATGGCCCTTTCCTGGTGGTGGTGCCCCTCTCGACCCTCACCTCGTGGCAGAGAGAGTTTGAAGTGTGGGCACCTGAGATCAATGTGGTGGTTTACATCGGAGACCTCATGAGCAGGAACATGGTGGGTAATCAGAAAGCAAAAGGTGTGGGGCTGGGTAGGAATGCTGGGAGCAAAGCAGCAGCTTCTGTGTGACAGGTGACATACGTTCTGCCAGAGAAGCTGATGGATGGTACTGGCAGGACTGGAAGCAGCTGGAGCTCATGTAGCTGAGTGCTTGGCTATATTCCACTGCTGCAGGGACTTTTCTACCTTATTTCCCCTCTTAGAGTGAGCACAGGAGTGCTGGCTTCCCTCAGAGGGCCTGGAAACCACTACAGCACTGGGCTGAAACATGCTGCAGTAGGGAGTATGGCAGTGCCTCCGTCCTGTGTTCTGAATTATTCAGGCAGCGGAGCACACAAATGTTGTGAGTCTGGTGGTGTCACTAGTGAGAGGATGCATTCCTTTGGCAGATGAGGGGTAATGTCACAATAGCAAGTTGTTTTGGTCTTATTTTGTTGCCTGTGCAAGGGCAGTTGAACCATGTGCACACTAAAACGAGCTGCCCCTTGGGCACCCTGAGCTCATCAAATGGCACCTTGAACAACGGGGGTTTGGACTTGGTTGGAGTCTCTGGCTATAGCTACACTAAAATAACAATTGTTAACTCTTTCCTGTCAGTAACATTGGTCGAAGTTAACATTTGTCTCCTCTCACAGATACGTGAATATGAGTGGATCCACTCTCAGTCTAAAAGGTTGAAATTCAACGCACTTATCACAACATACGAGATCCTCCTCAAGGATAAGGTGGGTAACGGCCTCAGGAATTTTTTTTATTTAGACTTTCTCTCACTTGCAAAGGGGGAAGCTAGCCCCCAATTCGTGGGTTTCACCCACTGCAGTGTCTTCACTCTTGTACTGTGGCAGTTGCGTCATTCTTTATAATTGTAAGACATCAGGTGGGGCAGTAGCTTGATTTTACCTAGTTTAATTTAGGCTTTTGAAGAGGACAAAACATTACACTGAACCACTGGCCACAGGGCTAACAGTATCTGGATTTTTACACTTAGGAGAAATCTGCCTGTTTAGGAAATGCTCATCAGCCCTCTCAGGGCATCAGTGAGTCCTAGCAGAAAACAAGAAACATAATACTAATAAAAAAAATTAAAATCAAAACTCTCAGGTTACCTTAACTTTATAGGCTTGTTTGTTTGCTCTCCTGCTGCTGCTACAGTAGGGCCCCAGGGCCATGGACAAAAGGAGGATTAAGGGGCTGGGGGGAGATCTGTACTTTCTGCATAAAGCAAGGGTGCTTTAAAATAGGTATACTTGCTGAAAGAAACTTCAGATGTGGCAGGAGCACTGTGCAGCATGGCTATTTTTCAACTTTCCTTTCTGGGGACGCAAAGCTAGCATAGGCATCTTGCTGCCAAGATTTTGTTAACAAGAAACTCTTGTGAGCCCAGCTTCTTTGGTGATGGGACCAGCACCAGGGCTGGGCAGGACACCCTGGAAAGCATACGCTGCAGATCTGGCCATGAAGAGAGAGGCATGTGCACGGTGGTGGGGCTTGTCTGACCCAGCATCTCCTTAGGGCCAGTTTTTTTTCTTATTTTCCTCCAGGCTGTTTTGGGAAGTATTAACTGGGCCTTTCTAGGCGTGGATGAAGCCCATCGGTTGAAAAATGATGACTCTCTGCTGTACAAAACGTTGATTGATTTCAAGTCCAACCACAGGCTGCTGATCACCGGCACCCCGCTTCAAAATTCACTCAAAGAGCTCTGGTCCCTCCTGCATTTCATCATGCCAGAGAAGTAAGTCCTCGTCTTGTCTATCAAATAGACTTGAGGGAGTACAGAGTGTCAGAAATCCCTGAATTATAAATCAATGGAGTTAGAGCAATGAAAGGGGAACAAACATTTGAGGGAAAAATCAGAGGTTAAATGACTAACACATTAGTATTTCTGGCAACAAATTGAATGGGGAAACCTAATACACGCCTTTCAAATCTCTGTGCTGTCTTGGAGCCATCTCTAAAAAGCTAAACTTGTCTTAAGCAATCATCTCAACCATTTCTGAGGCTTTCAGTACATACCTCTTGCCAACCACTTCATGGCAGTCTCTGGGAGTGTTGCTAAAGGATGGTGTTGTCAAGCTGATTGTTCGCATGGCCACATTATAACAAATGTTTTGTTTTCTTTAAAACAAAGTGGGCTATGTGCATTGCTACGGCTAAGACAAGCACTCCCCAAAACTCACTAAAATGATGTTTGACTGGAAAAAAGAGCTGTTCCCCAAATTCTTTTTGTTGTCTCAAAGAAAGAGTGAAGGAAAGGTTTGAGGTCTCCCAAGGGGAGGAGAAGAGCTGATCTCCACATTTCAAAGGAGCTGTTGGAGGTAGCAGCAATCCAAAAGAGCCTTCAGAGCAGTGTAAAACATAGTCCAGTTGTCAAAGCCCTGCCTAGGGGAGGGCACTGTGGAAAGCTCAGAAACTTCTGGCCAGGTAAATGCCAACAGGAGACAGCAGAGCAGAATACTGGAAAACTTGGGATTTTGAGTGTGGGGAGTCAGTGTGGAGGTCAAAGAGAAGAGGTTAGGAAGGCACCTAAGCCCAGAGCGCTTCTAGCTTTGCCACCAGTGTGGTTAAGTAGCCCGAGCAGAGTGAACCTTTTATCCTCCATTGTGTCTCCATTAAATTGATGATCTTCTGTCTTCTAAGACAAGAAGTATTCTGACCCTTCTTTGCTCCTCGTTTCTGTTGCTAGGTTTGAGTTCTGGGAGGATTTTGAAGAGGATCACGGGAAAGGTAGAGAGAATGGCTACCAGAGCCTTCACAAAGTTCTGGAGCCATTTCTCCTACGTAGAGTGAAGAAGGATGTGGAGAAATCTTTGCCAGCCAAAGTGGAGCAGATCCTCCGTGTGGAAATGTCTGCTTTGCAGAAACAGTATTACAAGTGAGTCACTTATTATGTTACTGGGAGTGCCAGTAGAAATGGGCACATCTTTCTATGTGCCTTGGGAATGTGTTTCAGTGTACTGTGTCCTTCAGAATGCAATGGGACAGCCATTGCCTGTAGTACCAGGAGCTTCCCAGTAGGAATCTCAGGTGGGGTCGTTGGTAACTTTCCTTCTGAAAAGGCATCTCCGGACCACTGGAGATGCTCTTCTAGAGTGTTACAATTCAGCTGGCCAGCTTTGCAGGTCAGAGGCTATGTCTTTCCTGGGGGAGTAAAGCTCCCCACAAAATTGTGGTGTGGTTTGATATTAAACTTAATAGGAAAGTAAGGTCAGGGTTTCTAGTGAGGAGACAGCAGTATCCTATAGAAGTGAAGAGAGATGGAGGGAGGGAAGTAGGCTGATGCCTGATCAAGATGTCCCTGAAGGTTTTGTTCTTCCAAGACTCTAGCATGCCTGTTCTGCACTGTGAAATGACCTGGACTTTTCATTTTCCTGCCTGCAGGTGGATTTTGACAAGAAACTACAAAGCTCTTTCAAAGGGAACGAGGGGGAGCACATCTGGTTTCCTGAACATTGTGATGGAATTGAAAAAGTGTTGCAACCACTGCTACCTTATCAAACCTCCCGAGGAAAATGAGAGAGAGAATGGCATTGAGACCCTGCAGGTGGGCAGTGTCTTTGGTTACCATTGTTTTTTCTTCGCTTTCGCCTTTCTCCTGTCCTCTCACCAAAATAAGATCTGGTGAAGCTTTAGTTTCTGCTGCTTCTCCATTAGAAATGGTCCTCACAGATGAGGCACTGAACCTCCTGCCCTCCCCTTCCAGTGTAGGCAATGTTTTGTGGCCGTCTGGAGTGGGAGGTGCATGCAATATAAGATCTAGTTTGTATGATTCATTTTGTGTGTGGCCTCTGCTGTGTAAATCCAGATGATTTGATTAGAGATATGTGGGAGAAGCATGACCCCAGAAGAACCAGATCTCTGCATGTTTCTGTGTAGTGTAAATAAGGGTAAGGTTGGAAAGCATCAGCTGGAATGACGGTTACTTCTTCAGTCTCTGATCAGGAGCAGTGGAAAGCTAATTCTCTTGGACAAGCTGCTGACCAGGCTGCGGGAGAGAGGCAACAGAGTGCTGATCTTCTCCCAGATGGTGAGGATGCTGGACATCCTGGCAGAGTACCTGACTATCAAACACTACCCTTTTCAGGTGAGAAATGTCAACAGGGAAAACAGTGGGGTTCACTTGAAAATTCAAGAAAATGCAGAGGGATCCTGGGCAATGGGAGCCACTGAGTTTCGCAGAGGCTGGTGCCTGGGATTGCAAGCTGTAGTGGGGATGTCCCTTCATTTCAGTGCAGCCCCATCTCTGCAAAACACCTCCTCTGACAGGCCCGTGCTTTGGGCTGTGTCCGGTGATAAACCCCGAGGATAGCAAATGCAGAGAGCTTGGCTGGGAGCCTGTAACGGGAGCTGCAGTGTCACCCGCTCTGTGACTCTTGCCTGAGCTTATTCCTCCCCCTGCCCCACCACCCTCACAACACAGCGGGCTAAGGCAGCGCAGTTATTTTTAATTGGTGGTTATTTTTAAAGATTAAATGCTCCAGGCAGGGAAGGGGGCTGTAGAGCTCCCAGAACTTGGGTGCAGCAGTTCCTCAGGGCTCCTTTACCTTCTCTCTTTCATCATTATTGTTGATTTTTCCAGCGCTTGGACGGCTCAATCAAAGGGGAGATTCGAAAGCAGGCGCTGGACCACTTCAACGCTGACGGCTCTGAGGTACCGCAGCTGGGTTTGCCCAGCCTCAGGAGGGTCCGGGTGGGCTGCCCGAGCAGTGGGCGTTTATGGCTGAGCTGCAGGGTTGTGACTGCCAAGAGGGGATTAGTTCCGTTCATTTCTTTTTACAGGACCCCAGATACTTCTAAAGACACAGATACAGCAGGTTTTGCAACTAGCCGTGTTGCTTTTTAAATATCTTCCACATCCAAAGAACAGGGCTGCATGTCACATCTCCAGAAAGTTTCAAAGAGGCTGAGAAGAGACAGAATTTAGCAATTCTCTCCTCATGGTTTGGGGAACGAGACAGTTGCTAAATGATTCCTCCAGTCTGAGGATGTTTTTGGATATGAAATGGCAGAGGCAAAAGGGGGGGGATTTTAAGTGTCAGCGGCCAGTGGAGTCTGGTGTTGGAGGTGAAAGTCTCCAGTGTAATAGGAGAGGACAACTTGAGCCTCTCGTTTGGGCTTGCTGACTCACAGTGATGGGTGCAAGGCACTTGTTTTGTGCCACAGTCAGCCCAGCCGTGAGAAATACCTTTCCTCACTCCAGAAGCTTGGAATGGAGGGGGATTCTTGGCTGACACAGGAGACAGTTAGGTGCTTCATGGTCATGGGAAAGTTAACAAATAAAAGTGAGAAGGAAACCGTGGTGGGAAAAAAAGAAGCTGCCCTTTCCCCTCTCCTGGGGACATCTGTGGGGGCTCAGACATCCCGGCTCTAACCTGGCACCCTGTGCCCTTGGGCAGTGACTCGAACAGTCTGTCAGTTGCTGATCTCACCCCCAGCAGGCTTTAAAGCAACGAAAAGCACGTGTTTGCCTGCTGCTTTTGTAGGAGTCTGGTGAGCAGCATGGTCTGACCTTCAGAAACCACTCCAAGGTGCCCTTCCTCTGAGCTGTTTGCGTTGTTCTCCCATAACAATGCATGCACAGCTTTCATCCCTGCCAGCACCGCTTCACTTTGTGCCTTGTCCTAAAGACCAGTGCTATTTATCCTGCATGAGCAGGGTGTGTGGGAAGGAAATTCTTTTTCTGCTTTCTTAAGAAGCACAAGTTAAACAGAGCCCTCCCTCTGTTTCCATGCATAGTTTTGAAGTCACCACTGCTGTTTTATGTCCGCAGGTACAGTCTGGCTAACTCACAGATGCTTTTTTCTTTCCCCCAGGACTTCTGTTTCTTGTTGTCAACACGAGCTGGAGGGCTGGGAATTAATTTAGCCTCTGCTGATACTGTTGTTATCTTTGACTCGGACTGGAATCCCCAAAATGATCTTCAGGCTCAGGCTCGGGCTCACCGCATCGGACAAAAGAAGCAGGTCAGAAGAGCTACCTGGGTCATTTTCTCTGTGGCTTCAGTGTGTGCATCTAAATGGGCTGCCACCTCACCAAAGCTTCTGAAAAGATGGTCTTTTGGCCCCAGTCCTGACTCCAGAGAGTACTGCCAACCCAAGGGAAGCTCATTTAAAAGCCAGGAAACAAAAAATGAGCCCAAATTTTCCAGATGCCAGGTCTTTCTGTTGGCTTCGCATCACACTTCTTAGCTTAGTGGACTCTCTTCTTTCTTGCCCTGAAAAACTTGGAAAGTAGAACATCCACCTTTACTAGGGTTTTGTTAGATATGTGAAAAGTTTGATGCTAATTTGGATTTAGAGTGATTGTTTCAGAAGATTTTTGCTCTGTGCTTAGTCAGGCTGCCAGATCTGTGTTAACCAGCCTGATTTTAGATGATCCCTCTGAGAGATAAAAAGTATGTGATGGTTTTTGTTCTAAAAGGACACATCTGGGCATGAAGAGACCATGTCAGCAGACTAGTCTCCTGCAAAACCACTGAGGGATGCATCGCTGTGTCAGCAGAGCGTGTTCAGGTCCACGAAATAGCTCTGTTCTCTTCTTGCCCTTTAGGTGAATATTTACCGCCTGGTCACAAAGGGTACGGTAGAGGAAGAGATCATTGAGAGGGCCAAGAAGAAAATGGTGCTGGATCATTTGGTGATCCAGCGTATGGACACCACTGGCCGGACTGTTCTGGACAACAACTCTGGGCGATCCAAGTAAGTGATTGTGTTGGGAGGCAGAGATGTCTGGTACAGTGTCTGGCGGAACCAGCTTCACCTGCTGGTATCTCACAATATTTGTTTGATAGGATATAGGGCAAAAGGCTAATAAATAATAGGAGCATCCACTGATTTGGCTTATACAACCTTGAATTTGGACACATAGGATAAAAATGGCCAGAAATCAGAAACTGGTTTTGATGCATTACCTGTTTTTCCTTCTGTATTCCTCCCAAAGATCATCCTGGTCTGAGGTATCCTGGTGGTGGAAGAGCTGTGGTTCAGCAGATGCTCCCCTTTCTCCCCCAGGAGATGGAGGTTGTTCCTTTTACAGAGTTGTCCGTGCTAGAGCAGGAAAGAGATGAGGGACTGAATAAAAAGGCTTTTTATAGTGCTGGGTAGAAAACTTACTTCTTGCTTTAATTAGGAAAAACTTTGTTATGGTTTTGTGCTGTAGCAATACCGACTTAACAGCTCAAAACGTATTTTCCTCTCATTCATTCTTGCAGCTCAAATCCTTTCAACAAAGAGGAGCTGACAGCTATTCTGAAGTTTGGAGCTGAAGATCTCTTCAAGGAGCTTGAAGGGGAAGAGTCAGAGCCTCAGGTAGGTTGAAATTGAAATCACAGAGCTGTTTGTAGTCCTCTGCAGGTCCATATGGGGGGTTGTATGTGTTTGCTCCCTCTTTGTATTTTGTCTGTGCATGAGAGCAGGTTGGTGAACAGGGCATGCATGAGTCCAGAGAAGCTGAAGAAAGAGAGCTCTGGGGTTGGGAGGGGGTTAAGGAGAGCCTTGTTGCCGGGGGTTGAGTTAGGGTATGGTCACCAAGAGTCCCTTGGCTCATGAGGATTCATTAGCTAGTTATAGCACAGCCTGCTGAAAGCTGCTCTCCCTGCCTCCTCTGAGCACTTCTGAGCATCCTTTTTTGGTTGTTCTCATAGAGGCAGGAGTTAGCACAGTGAAGTCGGATAGGTTGCTCTCTCCTGCCCGGCAGAGCGTTGCTTGACAGTTTAGTATCGAGTGCTTTGACCAATTCCCTTAATGGCCCGAGTAGCAGAGCTTTCCCTGAGGGAAACAGCCCACAGTTAATAGGTCTCACTGTCTGGAAATTTTCCCTGCTGTTCTTTTTCTTCTGTCCTATCACCCTTATTTATACTCTTTTGTACCGCTTGAGATAGTTCATCCCTGCCCTCGGTGATGACACCCTGCAGATATTTGCACTTTATTTAGCTCATATCAGCACAGTGCGTATTTAGCTATTGCACCCCACGGGTCTGCTCTCAAAGCCCCTTATTTCCTGCTGTGCTCGGCACCCTCTGCTTTATCGCTCTTTCTTTCTGACTGGTAGGAGATGGACATTGATGAGATTTTGCGTCTGGCTGAAACACGAGAGAATGAAGTGTCCACCAGTGCCACTGACGAGCTCCTCTCCCAGTTCAAGGTATGGACCCCCCAGGCTTTGTAGTGGGGTGTGGGAATGAGGCTCCCCACGTCTTGCCATGGTGGTAAGGTCAGTAACAAACAGAACAAATCAGACCCGGTGAGAGGTGACCTGTACCAAGCAGTTTGGTAGCTAGCTGGGGAGATATGTATTAATTTTGTTTCAAATAAGTGGTTTTGAATGCTGTGAATAAAATGCAGAATTTACCAAATTTGGAAACAAACCCAATAACTTACAGAGGCTCAGCAGTACTTCTTAAACTGCACGTACTTCCTCAAAAGCCGTTAGCCCAAAGACGTGGCAAAGAACCAGAAATGTAGTGACATAAGGATCAATTATAAAGTAGTTATGGAAATGTTGGCAAAATTCCTATGGGAAAGGAGTTGAGGATTAGCAGACAGCTATGGGGTATTCCTGCCAAGGGAGGGAATTGTTAAAAGTGTTTCTTTGCTTATAAAAGGTGGCCAACTTTGCAACCATGGAGGAGGAAGAGACAGAGCTGGATGAGCGGTCCCAGAAGGACTGGGACGATATCATTCCAGAGGAGCAGAGGAAGAAGGTGGAGGAGGAAGAAAGGCAGAAAGAATTGGAGGAAATCTACATGCTGCCTCGAATCCGGAGCTCGACTAAAAAGGTACAGCCTACCTCAAGGAGCTGAGAGGCTGGAGTTAAGAGCTGGCAAAGGCAGTACTCGAGGGAAGCCTTCTTGCTATCTGAGTGCTTCTTTCCCTCCTCCAAAGTTGGTTAGTAGGAAAGCACAGAGGTAGCACATTGACCTCTTGTTGGCATCATGCATTGGGCCCATGGTTTGTAATGCAGTGTGAGGGCGCGTATTGGATTTGGTACGACTTGTCTTAGCAGACATAATGAAAAGAACCTGTAGTGAGCACAAGGCAAAATATCCAACTCCATAAAGCAGATTTTACTGCAGTGTATGTCATTTTCTGCCTGTTTCTTTTCTTTGGACTTTCTATCTCCCTGGGCTGCTCTTGTCTAAATGTGGCTCTTGCAGGCAAAAGAGATGGCATCTTCCCAAGGTGATGGGATCTACCCCAATCCAACAGAAAGCAAACTGTGCAAGGAAACTCTTCTGGGATGTGGGACTTTAAGGGTTTATGAACTGTTCTATGTGATGAGCTGGGGAAAAACACTGAAGTGAAAAGTAGAGAGAAGGATAATTTCTGTCAGATGATTACAGATTCATTTCTGAGGTGTCCTAGTTTTCAAAACAGCCTAAGGGACTGTGGCACAAAACCACAGTAATCTAGGTGTTTTAATTTATCTTATACCTTAGTAAATCAAAATGCAATTGTGAAACTGCTGGCTAGAAGGTTCTAAGGGGAGGATGACCACCAGAGCCTTAGCTATCTGGAAACTGCAAGAGGGTGCGGCCTCTCTGGGTTGCTTACATGGGCTTCTGCATCTTCAGGAAGAGATGCTGATGTTTCACAGTCTGAACGTGAAATAGTGCCAGTGCATGGGAGGGACAGAAAAGGTTGGCAGATTAGCAGTTGTTAACTGTACTGCTGTTTTTCTGGTACATACAGGCTCAGACAAATGACAGTGAATCAGATGCAGAAACTAAGAGAAGGCTTCAGAGATCGTCTGGATCTGAAAGTGAGACTGACGATACCGATGACGAGAAGAGACCAAAGCGCAGGGGGCGTCCTCGGAGTGTTAGAAAAGATACTGTGGAAGGATTTACTGATGCTGAAATCAGGAGGTCAGTGCTGAGTACCAGAGACAGTTCAGAAAACAAATATAGAAATCCCATGCAGGTGGAGAAAACCCCAGATTAATCCAGGAGGTGTTCAACTGTAAGCATGTCACTGGTTTATGTGGAACTGGTTCACTGGACCAGCTTCTGCACCTTTTTATAATTTGGTTTGCTCCCAGCTGATGATCTCAACATTCAGGTGTGTGCAAAATGGACTGGATTGTCTTTAGTCAGGCAGCAGTGAAGCTGGTATCTTCCTAAAATTAATCCTTGTTGTAACTGCCCTTCCTGGGGCAAGTGGATTGAGCTAATTCCATGTTATACATGAGGTCTTAAATACCATGAGATACAGAGATGGAAAAGCCAAGGACTCTGGCCTTCCTGGTGTTTTTCTGGCAGTAGTCCTGATGATTTAAGCTTAAGTGAAAGGCAGGCTCTAGCAGAATAACCCCATGAGAAGCGCTGGTCCAGCTGATCCCAGCAGTTGTGTATCCTCTTCTGCACAGTGTCCCTGAAGTCAGCCGGGGGCTGAATTCCAGAACATTATTTTCTTCTCATGTCTTCTAACTCTTGAGCCTTTCCCAAAGATCTTTGTCTTATGGCTCTGCCCAGATGTTCAGCAAAAGGTGGAAAAGAGGGGGCTGTGAGTTTTACTTGACTCTCCGTCTCCGAGTTGATGTCAGGAGATGGTCAGATTTTTCAGATTGTGGTAGCTGCCCCATATCCAGCCTGAAACCATAGAGAAGGAAGGAGGCATTGTATGTGAACTATAGCAGCCATTTAGGTTACTGTGATGTAGCAGAAAGAGACTGAAAGAGCACAAGATGAAAAAAAGAAGGGGAAAAAAAATAACTCATTTTGAAAATAATCTGTAGTTGAAGCCATTGGGTCTACTCCCAGCACAAGGCACTGTTCAGTTGGAGTAACAGTGTCTGACTCTTGCCCTAAAGTTGTGTGTTAGCCATGGCAGTGATTTTCACAATAAAAATAAAATGCAAAAATAAATAACAATCCTTGTCTGCAAACCTCTGTGATAGATTGCACCACATTTGGCTCTTCTGTGATGGATTGTTACACATATAGCCTGAGTATTAAAATTACTAGTGACATTGATTTAATGCCTCTTTTCTCATTGGAAAAATGAAGTTAATAATTACCAACATGGTGTGAGCCAATGCTTTCTTTCAATTTATTTTTTTTACAGTACAGTTATAACCTTCCTCTTTTTTTTCCTCTTCTGTCAGACATCCAACATTCATAACAATGTCGTGTTCTTCTCTAGCCGAGGTCACAGAACTTTAGGGGGGCTAATGGATTAGGCTTCCCAGAGCTGATTGATCCTTAGCTAATCAGTGTGGAATGCAAGGTTGATAACGTGTCAGGCTGTAATTAATACATTCAAGTGTGATTGTGATATTGGACCCACTTTTTATGGCAGTTGGTTTAATTTATTGTTCTTTTTTTTTTTTTTTTTGCTTAGGTTTATCAAGGCTTACAAGAAATTTGGACTGCCTCTTGAACGGTAAGTCCCAACCTGGCCCTGTTCCAGAGGGTTATCACAGGGGGACGTTTTGTTTCTAAGCACATCCATACACACATTGCTGCGGGTGTTTGACACAACCTCCGCAGACAGCACAAAGCTTCGCTGTCGTGTGATCGGTATCCCAAGTGCTGCCATAGCAGTCCCTCATGTCTCAGTTGATGGGAGTGATGAATGCTGGCCAAAAAGCAGCTCGAGCAGTTGTGGCGCCGGGCTGTACACAGCATCATCCTGCTGGCAGGGTCTGGCCCTTGGGGCATTTCCCTTCTGCCTAGAAAGGAGAGGGAGCAGCTGCTTGAAGAGCAAACGCTACCCAAAATGCTTGCCAAGCTTCTCTATGCATATGAGTTTCAAGACTGAATTTGGAGCATCTTTTTCTTGCTGCTGTATCCCTCATGATGGGAAGTGGGTGGAAGCACACGCTGTGCTCAAGTGTGGGTTTGCAGAGCCCTGCACGAGTGCTGTGCCCCAGCACAAGTGATGGAGGAAGGGAAATGGGCGCATGTGCATGTATTGTATGAGAAATGACTGTTTTTTCAGCTGGTTGTACTCTTCTGTTGTGAAACACCAGGCTTGCGCACAGGCCTTGATGTTACTAACATCAGCCAGGCAAAAGGGATAGCAGATGGCAGCTTTGGACCAGCAAATGGAGTTAATATGGAATTGGGAAGGCATGAAAGCACACTGGACAGGCACAGAGGGTGCCTGTTGTGCCCAAGATAGACAGTTCTCACCTTTGCTTTAGTTCTGAAAAATCCGAAGGATTGGATTAGTTATGCATCTGCACTGTTCTGCAGTTGTTAGACCTAAAAAAAAGACTAAAACTGTGTTGTGCCCTGTGTGAACTTGACTCCTGTAGTTTTCATCCATCATACATATACAGCATTGACTACTAAAAGCTATGAAACAATTGCTCAGGAAGTGACTGGGAGGAGATATGCCATATCAAATACAAAACTTGCTGTTCTTTTTCCCCTTTCCCAGGTTAGAGTGTATTGCCCGGGATGCTGAGCTGGTGGATAAGTCTGTGGCTGATCTGAAACGGTTAGGGGAGCTCATCCACAATAGCTGTGTGTCAGCAATGCAAGAATACGAGGAGCAGCTGAAAGAAAATCCAGGTGAAGGTAAGCAAGAGGGTTGTGTGCTGCTGTTATAATATTTTTTGGGGTGCTCCATGGAGCTGATGAGAAAACTGTTCCCTTGTTGGACAAGGAGGCATGCTACATTGTGACTTAAAAGCAAAGAACAAACATGCACTTAAGCCATCTCATCTCTGCCAGGCAGCTCTCACCAGCAGAGGGAAACCCCTGAGTCTTCTGCTCAGACTGAAAAGTGCCATTTGGGTCTGTTGGCTTCTGCTCAACATGAGTTTCGTGAGAGGCTGAAGTCATCAGCTTACTTAATATTGTGTCACAAGGCAAAGCAGATCATGTTTTAACTGTTCCTGGGACTGGGAATCACTAATGCTGAGTGCTCCATGGTAAAGCTGGATCCACAATTAGCACTTGCTAGAGCTGGCATCATCCACCACTCTTTGTATGGCTGGTCTGTGCTGTTGATCTGGAGATACAGGGGTCTGGGCTGGATTTCCCACTGGGTCTCTCCCTGTTGCAGCTGAACAAAACTACTGAAGCAACAGCTCCAGCATACTTAGATATATTTTTATGAAAGTGATACTGAGGGGTGTTTGAATTGTAGATCTAAGTGAGTTAGTGAAAGAAAACTTATTTTTTGGGCCTGCCTTAGCAGGCAGCCTAGTGCTTAAATAAGAGATTGTAGGCAACGTGTTGATCTCTGTGTGTCTAGACATTTTTATAGAGACTCTTCTTTCTGTAAGAGTTCTCTTAGTTGCTGTGTTTTATTGTTAAGCAGGGAAAGGACCTGGAAAAAGAAGAGGTCCTACTATCAAGATTTCTGGTGTCCAAGTCAACGTGAAATCCATCATCCAGCATGAAGAAGAGTTTGAAATGCTGCATAAATCCATTCCTGCAGACCCAGAGGAAAGGAAGAAGTGAGTTTGGCTAAGTAGGCAATGCAGAAAGAGGCTCAGGGAATTTGCGTTTTGTAGTGGAAAGAGAATAGCCTTAGATATATGGATTTGCTTTACCCCTCACTGCATTAAAAGTAGCTCATGTTTGAAATGCCTTCAGGTACCGTCTGACGTGCCGTGTCAAAGCTGCCCATTTTGATGTAGACTGGGGAGTGGAGGAAGATTCTCGCTTGTTAGTGGGAATTTACGAGCATGGTTATGGAAACTGGGAGCTAATTAAAACTGATCCGGAATTGAAATTATCTGATAAGGTAAGTTACTTTGCTTGTTGCTTGCATTGGGTCCATTGCAGTTCATAGAGAACATGTTTGATTTACTCCAGAAACAGATGTTTATGTTTGTAACCACTCCAAAAATAATAATAAATAATAATGAGGAAAACAGTGACCTCCATGGAATGTTACATGCTTGATGGAAAGCAGAGTTGTGTGTTATTTGATTGGCAGTAAATTTTCTCTGAACAGTACCATATGAACCACACTGAAATGATGCAGGAAGAAAATGGTAATGCTGACATATGTGGTTACATGCATAGTATAGAGAGTGCATTGCATAATTGTGAGTTGATATTTCCTTCAGCCTCTCATAAGAAGCTGAGTCTGAATTTCTGTGCAGAAATAATTTTTCACAGATTTGACACTGCTTGTGTCAAGACTGGTCTGTGTTAGCTTTGAAGGTGTAGTTACATGACTGGCTATGGCAGCAAAGCCAGCTGGAAAGCGTCCATCTAGTTCCTCTGTTCCTCGGTCATTCCCATAAGAACTGTTTGTGAGGGCCATGTTGAAGTGATCCGGGTTAAAAATAAGCCGCCATCCGTTGTGTCAGCACAATGGAAGGAGAACAAACTGCAACACAGGGCTAAGGAACATCGGGACTCCCTACACCAGTGTTGCTGCCAATATGCTGCATTCCCCTGACATCCCTGCTAGTGTTTTTAGCAAAGATCAGACTGTGGCTGAAACCCCTTCTACATCAAGTTCAGAAAATCATTTCACAGTGGAAGCAATTGCCTGAGACACGCCACCCAGTTTCCATTGAAGTACAAAGGTAACCTAGCTGGCAAGCTGAGATACTCCCTCCACAGAGTGGCAGCCTTGTTTTCCACGAAAAATTCTGCTGCAGCAATGTCTCAGGTTAGCAAAGGGGACCAGCCTGCTGTGACAAGGCTGTCACAAACAAATCTGATGTGTCAAGGAGAGTGGACTCAGTTTTGCAACTCAATGTCCCAAATATAGTTTGCAAAGTTTTTTTTTTTTTTCTTTTTGCACACTTATGAGAAAGATCGTAGAGAACGTAGAGAGCTGCCTTGGGGTCCTTTCACTTCTGCAAAAGGCTGAGGGAAGGGATGCTTGCTAGAAGCTTTGCTTTTGGCTAGACAGGGAGAAGAGTCTGTGGGGGGGCTGGAAGAAATTCTTGAACCTTCTTGGTCCCCCAGAAGGTGCAGCATCTCCAAACATTTGCTGGGCCTGGAAGGACTGTTGCTAGTGTGTATGTCTTTTGTCAAGGTTTGATAGATGCATGTGGGTCTATTTTTTTTTTTCCTTCTTTATCAAAGATCCTACCTGTTGAGACAGATAAGAAACCTCAGGGAAAACAACTCCAGACCCGAGTTGATTATCTGCTGAAACTGCTGAAGAAAGATCTGGACAAGAAAGAAAACATGAAAGATGGGGAAGAGGTGAGATGTGTCTGCTTGATTATGGGGGTTTCAGCATGAGTGGCTGGCTGATGGCGGGAGACAGCCTGTGTTCCCAGGGCACTGAACATCACCTACGTGAAAGAATATGGACTTGTCTGTTTGATTGCATTGTGATACTGAAGTGATAATTAGTAAGGGACAGGTAATTAATTATTACACTTACTGAAGGACTCGGCCTCATCAGGCTTCCTGCCACCCTGCTGTTTGTGAGATGTTCAGGAGATGGGTTATATCCTCGGGAAGCAGCTGTAGCTATTTGCTTGCTCTGACTTGTTCTGTGTTTTCACCAGGGCAAGCTAAAGAAGAGGAAACCACGAGTAAAGAAAGAGAACAAGGCTCCCAAAGTCAAAGACGAGCATGGGAATGAACTCTCCTCTCCTCGGCACTCAGACAACCAGTCAGAAGAAGGTGAAGTCAAGGTGAGTCAGCTTGGTGGAGAGCAGCTTTTCCAGGCTTCCTTGAGCCTACGCTGTTACTGCAGAACCTCACCTTGAGGAGCACTTCTAGCAAATGCCCTGTGGAGTAGGGGGGAGATACAGATTGCATTCCCACAGGAGATTGGCAAACTCAAAAACATACCTACAGCTGTCAGGGTGAAAGAAGGACCTTTCCCACCCACTCTTTTAGGTTAGTGCTCTAAGTGTTTTGGGGGGATCCTAGAATGGCCACACAAATCCTCATACTGAGTTGGAGGAAAGGTTGTCTCAGGACAAAGCCTGTTGCCATTATAAAGGAGAAAGAAGAATTGTTTCCTTCTCCTTTTCAGTACGTCAGCCAGTGGTGAAGCTGGAGTTTACCAAGGTCATGCTTTTGCTTAGAAAACCTTCTGTCTTTGAGTGGTTTGGCTTGTAGTCTAAGGCTTTTTGTTCATGTGCTGATCGGTATCTACCTTAGGGGCTGCGTGTTCTCGAGCGCAGCTGGCATAGGAAAACAGTGCTTATCTACAGTTTGCCAGCTAGTTACAGATTGGGGCTTGTCTATTTTTTATACCCTTTTGTCAAGGGTTGGGTGGATTGCAGCACGGGGCTTGCTCTCTGGTTAAGGAGGTGTGAGGGCAAATTTGGATGGACCTCAAGAATTGTCTGTGTGTCAAGGATGTAAGTTTTATAAAAGAAAGTGTATGTGAGATGAGGGACTCTAACTTTGTGCTGTGACTGATTTTCTAGGAGGATGGCTTGGAAAAGAGCCCAGTGAAAAAGAAACAGAAGAAGAAAGAGAACAAAGAGAACAAGGAAAAGCAGACCACGACTAAGAAAGAAAAGGAAAGTGATAAAGAGAAAAAAAAGACAAAAGAAAAGAAAGAGAAGGTATGTGGTACTCTTAGGAGCAGTTTAAGAGTTAGGAAAGTCCCTGAGCAAAAGGGCAAGATATGATTCATTAAGGGCCCTCTATGAAGAGATGTCAATGAAGCATTTTGGGGTGAGGTATTATCACTTTTTCAGCCCTCCTGAGTTCTTATTGTAAAGAATTGCAATAAAAAGTAGAAAAGGCAATATATCCTAAAGCTTGATGGAATGTGAGCAAAAAGGAAGAGATTTTGTCAGACTGCCTTTCAAGTACAGCTGTCCCTGTGACAGCAGTATGGCCAAATAGCTGATGGTAAGGAAGAAAGGGGGAAGGAGCCTGGAGCGCTCAGATCAAAGTTGTGTTCAGCTGTGATTTATCACAGGGTTGGCAGCTCCTTGTCTGTATTCCCCTGTAATTTAAACTCTGCCCAAATAACCCAACTGTCCACACCATCAGGACTCTAAGTTGTCCTTGTCACTGTTCAGGACTCACCAGAATGAGTGTTTCAACATCAATGGTATGTTGTGGACTAAAATGTCCCTTGAATTTTGGGTACAACTGCCCTGAGGCTGGATTCAAATTGGAAGTGGGTAAAAGCTCCTGTAATAATGACCTGTAGTACCTGTCCAAGGAACAGGTATGTACTGCATGCCCAGTGTGTTTTGACACTGAGGTCATAAGTGCAAACCTAGAAGCTTTGTTGCATATATAGGGGAAAGTTTGCTTTCCGGTGATTTTTGGTATGACACTGACTCTTTGACTCCAGATAAGCCATACAAGTCAAAATTTACACTAATTTACATGATATGAGGTTGCTTTCCAGAGGGTCTAGGGACTAGAGACATCCCATGAAGTTGCAGATCCTCGTAGACATCAGGCTCTGTCCTTTGCAAGGGACATATATTCTTTAGCTTAACCTCTCTTCCAAGTCTTCAATGTCGGTTTTCTCTCCGTGAGTATGAGTATCATATTCACATCCACAATGTTGGATCTGACTTCTCTCTGCTCCCTCGAGGATGATGTAAAGCTAAATAGAGGCAATACAGCTAAACAGTTTGAGATCTTGGGAGGAAAGTTGTAGGAGCAGTGCCCGAGGTTTAACAACTGCCAGTAACAATAGTGTGGAGGTTGTTAGTTGGATCACTTGGGATCCTACAGTCTGGCTCATCATGTGATTTCTGTAATTTGTCCTTGTAAAGCCTAAAAGCAGTGAAGCCAAATCTGGAAGTAAAGGGAAGAGATCGCAAGGTCCCGTCCACATTACAGCAGGAAGTGAACCGATCCCCATTGGAGAAGATGAGGACGATGATCTGGACCAAGAAACATTCAGCATAGTGAGTATTTTCCTGGGGATATGGGAGGTCAGTGGCAAAGAGCCCAGCACGGCAGACAGGATTTGCTTGCACGTTATCCACGGATGTGCTTTCGGTGTTAGAGTGTGAGCCCCTCATAGTGCCCCGCAGTGATTTCCTCTGGCCAGTCTGAGAGTACAGCAGCCTCCTCTGTGCCTACCAGCTGGCTGCTGGATATGGCACTTCAACTGGAAGAACTTCAAAGCTCTTCCAGCTTCTGATTCTCACCAAGAAATCGGACTGTGCCAAGGGTTCAGATAACCCTCTTTGAAATTCAGCTTTGCGTGAGTGTGCATGTTATCCCCTCTGCCAGCCAGGGCAGAAGAGGGCAGCGTGTCCATAGAGCATGCAGAACGTCTCTTCTTTGGCTGGTAAGTTCACACCACTACTGGCCCAGGTTGCCCAGAGAAGCTCTGGATGCCCCATCCCTGGAGGTGTTGAAGGCCAGGCTGGATGAGGCTTTGAGCAACCTGGGCTAGTGGAGGGTGTCCCTGCCCATGGCAGGGGGGTTGGAACTTGATGATCTTTAAGTTCCCTTCCAACCCAAACCATTCTGTGATTCTGTGATTTGACAACCCTGGCTTACAGAAGACCCTGCAGACTTACGTAGCAATCTTTCTCCTGTAGAAACCATTGGGGCTCTTTCAGGTGAGGAAATACAGGAGAGTTTTGGGGGTAACTTTGTATGGCCGTAGGAGGTACAGAACTGTGTGAGCTGTAAGCACTTCCCTAGCTGTGTAAGTACTCTTGCAGCAATCATGCCCGCAAGGCTCGTTGTAAAGACAGACTTTTAGTAAAAGCTGTCATGGCAGACTCTCCTTGGCCTGATTTGCGCAGGGGAATGCTGAAATATCAGTTTTTTAAAAACTGTTCTCTAAACTCAAATCTGTGTGTTCCCTGCAGTGTTATTTTTGTCAGGTTTTTTTCTTTTACTTTCCCTCTGTGGTGCATGAAAGGTCCAGCCGGGCAGTAGAAACCTGTCTGATTTACTGTCTCTGTGCAGTATTGATGTGCACATGGTGCTTTCATCTCACATTTTCCAGTTTTGGTAAAAGCGATAGATTAAAGCGACCATAGATGAGGATGGACAGGGAAGCTATTGAATAAGCATTCATTCAGCTGGGGCTGTTGGTTCAGCGTGTCAATGCTTGGTTACACTTCTCTGCCTGCTGTGGGATCATGCAAGCACAGCCTGTGTGCAGTCAAACTGTTCCTCTAAAAAGGGGGACAGTGGAGATGGGGAGACTCTTGTCTTTTCCTTAATATTTTCTGCAGCATATCTGGCAAATTGCTATTTTTGTAGCTGATTTCTCCTTGCCTAATGGTCAGATAAAGCTAATATCTCATGCTAATGAACTTCCAGCTCTGTCTGAATAAAAAGGGAACAATGAAGAGCCCTGTGCCAAATTAATCACTTTCTGCTCTCTGTTGCTTTTTCAAGTGCAAGGAAAGGATGAGACCAGTGAAAAAAGCACTGAAGCAACTCGATAAGCCTGATAAGGGACTGACAGTTCAAGAACAGCTGGAGCACACACGTAACTGCCTCCTAAAAATTGGGGACCGCATCTCTGAGTGCCTTAAAGCCTACAGTGACCAGGATCATATCAAGCTATGGAGAAGGTGAGGGACCATTTTGTTTTCTTTGGCTGGTATATGATATTTAAAAATGATAGTTAGAGGCTGCTGGGTTTTATGTGGATGAGTGCCATTTGCCTCTTATTTAACCCATGAAATCGTGAGTTTTCTAATCCACTCGATCTGTGACCACTCTCGGGTGAGTGTTTTGTCTGCAAGTTGTGCTGGTTCCATTTACAGTGATTTCAGAGCTAGTTTAGATAAACCCGTGCAGACCTCTTTGTTTTGCTTTGAAGAACTTGGTTCCAACTCTCCTGCCTGAGCTGGGTTGAGACTGTTCTCCAGAGAGGGTAGAACTGATTTGATGTTGGTTTGAAAGCAGTTTGCACTTAACAGAAAATGTTCATGTCCTTCTAGGAACCTATGGATATTTGTGTCAAAGTTCACAGAATTTGATGCCAGAAAACTGCACAAACTCTACAAGATGGCTCATAAGAAAAGATCACAGGAAGAGGAGGTGAGATCTGAAGTGCCTTCCCTCTGGTTGCTGTCTTTAAAATTTGTTGCACTTGAAGTGTCAATACTTTCTGCCTCTTATGCAGCCTCTCCCCACAGCATGGGGAGTCTCCAGACAAATCCAGAGCCTGACAGACGAGACCGTTGCTTGCATAATCTGAATCTTTGGGTGGAAGAGCAGTTGAGTTGTAACCCTCTCTTGCATCTTGCAGGAGCAGAAGAAGAAGGAGGACATGTCCAGCATGAAGAAGCCGTTCCGCCCAGAGCCTTCAGGCTCCAGCCACGATTCGGTGATGTCCCAGTCTCACGTGCCTCACAATCCTCATTCCCAGAAGATCCACCTGCCTCCGTCTCACATCCAGCAGCAGATGCATGGGCACCCACGTGACAACTACGGCCATCCAAACAAGAGACATTTCAGCAACACAGGTGAGTGTTGGCAAGCCAGGAGAAGCCATCCCTCCTAACCTAATGGCTGTTTGCTCTTGGACACAAATCCTTCTGATGGGATGGAACATATATTATCATTGTACTTATTGCTGGACTAGAAAACATGATGATACAGTGATGAAAAAAGTATAAAAATGAGACAGAATACAATTTGCTAGAAAAATGATAAAGAAATTTAAATAGTAAAATTGGACCCACATAGTTTACGGAGGAGAAAGCTGAAGGGGCACAGCAATAGTTGCTATTTTTTTGAGAATTCAGCAGAATAATGGGCTTAAACTAAAGTCTGAAAGACACTTACTGGTGCTTTCCTCATTGCAGACCGAGGAGAATGGCAGAGGGATCGAAAGTTCAACTATGGTGGCAACAGCAACCAGATGTGGGGTGGGGAGCGGCATCACCAGTATGAGCAGCACTGGTACAAGGACCACCACTATGGGGATCGGCGATCTCGTGGAGAGCCCCACCGGAGCTCTGGGAACTACAGACCAAATAACCTCTCCCGCAAGAGGCCATACGAACAGTACAACAGTGACCGAGACCACAGAGGCCACCGAGATTATTACGACAGGTAATTCGTTTTCATCTCGGAAAGGCTGGGAGGAGTTTGCAGCGATGTGTCTGGCCACAGTGGCCAGGTTTTCCTTGGGGAACTGATCTCCATGCATTTGTTTTCTCACTGCAGGCACCACCATGATTCCAAGCGTCGACGATCCGATGAGTTCAGACCTCAGAACTACCACCAGCAGGATTTCCGACGGATGTCTGATCACAGGCCACCCATGGGATACCATGGCCAAGGACCTTCGGACCACTACCGGTCCTTCCACACAGACAAAATGGGAGATTACAAACAGCCTCTCCCTCCACCTCACCCTGGAGTGTCGGACCCTCGCTCTCCCCCCTCTCAGAAATCCCCCCACGATTCCAAGTCACCTCTTGATCACAGGTCACCTCTGGATAGGTCATTAGAACAGAAAAACAATCCAGATTATAACTGGAACATTCGGAAAACATAAAGTGACTGAGAGGGGGAAAGCGCACGTCTGAAATACTTGGTTTGGAATAATTGGTTTGATGCAACAGCAGCTGGTTTATCCAAGCCAGCAACCAGAAACTCTGAACATGCTGCTATCATCTTGCTGGGTCAAGGAGGATTTTGGGGGATTATGTGGAGGAAGTTTTTTCCCTAGTTCTTGGTTCTGGTTTGGATTCCTTTTGTCCTTTCCCCTCTTCTACCATTGAACGTTGGAACCAACCTTGCTGCCTCATTCTTTGTTTTGTTTTTGTTTTCCCCAGTTTGATGGACCCAAGGGAATTTTTCCCAGCCAGTGTTTCCCCAAACTGAGAAGGCAGATCGACGCTGCTTAGGATTGTGCAGAAGGCTGTGTGCCTGCTCGGACTTGATGTTAAGTGACAGATGCTGCTTTGGGATTGGGGATAAACTGGTTGGGCTGGGATTTGTGTGTAACCAGCATAGGGCAATGGGAGGGTATATTCAAGGAGGGACAGGGGAGTCCCTCAGCAGCCAAGCTTGGCTGACAGAGGGACTCGACATCCCTGCTGAGTGACTCCAAAGGAGTTGGAGCCATGCTGGTGACAATTCATCGCTTTTCTGGCCACATTATCATTTCTCATGTCTTTATCCATTTCAAGAAACTGGCTCTGCTTTGAGTGCCATTGTGTTCCCTGCAACAGAAGAGGTATGGGGCATCCTCTTCCCATCTCGGGGCTAAAACTGGCAAATCTTTACTCCAAGGGACTTCAGGATAGATTTAAAAAAAAAAAAAAAAAAAAAAAAAAAGACTTCCTTAGCAAAGGCTTAGTTCACTTCTAACCAGTAGGAAAGAAATTGGGGTGAGAACAGTATTCCCAGCTGGACAGGGCTCAGTCATAGCAAAACTCTTCTTCCTTTCTAACATGGGCAGCTTGGATGGTCCAGGAACTAACAGATGCTGTCTGGGAGCCGCAAGGTCAAAAGGTGGCTCTGGGCATCTGGGGGTCCTGAAGCTCCTAATCTCCCTGCCACTGAAGTGCTTCGATCTTTGGGCAAGTCATTTCTCTCTGTGCTTCGTTGAAACAGTGATCACAAACCTTTACTGCAACCAAAGGATGGTAGAGCAGAGTTAAACAGGAATCCAGTGGAGTGATCAGTGTTCAGCAATCACTTGCAGGGAGTCACCTTCCTGCCACTGTTCCAGCAGTCGGCAGCGACTCTGAATTGCTGAAAGTACCTGTGCTGAACGACCTTCTCTCTATCTAAACTGGAAATGACCCCAGAGACTTGGCACCTCAGTTAGCAGGGAGAGAAGGAGGAATTCAGGACTGGGTCCTTAAAAATCCCTGGAGCAAATGTCTTAAGAGCCAAGCATGGCAGAGGGGGAAAGAGGGGTCTGCAGCCCAGCTCAGTGGACTTCAGAGCTAACACTCCTCCAAGTATTTGAGCCGCAGCATATGATGCAGGACAGTGTCCAGCCTGGACTGCAGTGTGGTAAGAGGGGTTGCGCACAGATTGCTGGCCAGAAGTAGCTTGGGTGATTCTTTTTCATGTCCTAGGTCTTTGTTTGTAGAGTCACATCCCCGGAGACCACAGAGCTCTCCCAGCAGCTGGGCTGCCCAGAGCGTGGTGTCCAGGGATGCGTCATCTCCCGCAGCTCAGTATTAAAGAGCAGACTGTTCCAGACTCTTCTTTTTGTGGGGAACACAAGCTGAGCCTCCTGTTAAGATGCCAGTATCTGACCCTAATAAGCTGTGATGTCCTTTCTCCAGAAACACTGAGGGGAGATGGGTGTTCAGGGCTGGCTTCCCGCCTCCGGCCAGTGCCTTGGCAGGCGCGCACAAACCGACACTAATACCCCCATGTCTCCCCTCCGTGCGCTGCGTCCCTTGAAATCTGCTGCCATCACTCCCTCCTTTCTGAGCCTGCTGCTTTAACGGGACACACGGGAAGTGTTTTTGCTCCCCTTTTGTTTTTATTTTGCAAGATTTCCACCAAGTGCAGGGCAGTTTTGCTTCCTTAGGGGCACCGTACTGCCCCCAAAAAAGTGTTACGCTTGTGTTTACCAGTGCAGGAGGAGGTGAAGGCAAGTCTTCCACAGTCCCCCTTGGAGTTGCCGGGTGAGGTGATGGGAGGTGTTGCGACAGCGTGTTTCCGCGGCGTTTCTCACTAAGCTGTGATTGCAGGCACTTGCTGTGGTATTCCACAAAGAGGTCCTTTCTTTTCAGAGGTATTAGCATTTAATGTGAAAATGGAAGAAACCTCAGAGGGGCAAAGAGAATTGCTCTTTTTGTTCACCAAGAGGTGCTATGGTGATGGAAAGTTCGTGCCATACACTTGTAGCAAAAGGCAATACTGGCCAGACCAGTGTTACGGTTGGTGCAGGAAAACTTTGAGCCCCAGCAAGAGACATTTTCTGTGTCCAGATGTGGGCGTCTCTGCTTATCCCAGGTTCCAGGTGTGAGGTTGGTTGGGGTTTCCTTCTTGTGCAACAGCAAAAGCTTTACCCATATCCACCGAAGAGCTGTCCTTGCTGTCACATTGGCCTGATATGCAAGTCACATAGTTTTGCTCACTCATGGTAGGTGGGTCTTCACTGGGTTTAGCTTTAATGAAGCTGGAGAACTAGATTTTGGGAGAAAGTCTTCCCTGAGCGCGCACACACACACACACATGCATTTTATGTCCCCTCAACATAGGGACCATAACCAGACCCTGTCACTTGGATGTGAGTGGGATCAGAGGGGACAGGTCCACAGCCATAAACTTCACTGCGGTGTTTGTGTCACCATCTGTCTGGTACAGCTCTTCCTTCCAAACCAGATGCGGAATTCCCTCTAGCCTCTTTGCAGGAAAAAGTAGCAACTTGTTGGGTTTTTATTAAAAAAAAAAAAAAAAAAAAAAAAGTTTTTCAGCCTGACCCCTTTGGAAATGGTGTAAAGTTGTGAATTCACATGATGAAAGTCCTGCAGACCAAAACCCGCTGTGGACAGGCAATGCGGTGCCCAACTAGAGTGGATACTTAACAGCTCTCTGAAGTCCTTACGTGAACAGTTTAAGTGATCCACACAAAAATACTATTCTGCTTTCACCCGTTTCCTCCCAACCTCCGCCTCCCCTCTGGGGAGTGAAGGACTCTTACTGTAAAAATGTGGACTTTTAAACCTGTTGACTAAAAACAGTAATTAATATTAATTTATATTTGTGAAAAAATGCCACTGTCCTAGTGATTTCTGATGTAAATATGTTGTTTATATAGTATGTATTAAATTTTCCTACATTGTAAAACTGCTGTACTTTTGATTCTTGTATATTAAAAAGTGTTACTGAGATTTTCAGAACCGCGCCATCGTGGTGTATCTGGGGGGGGGGGGTCCTGCAGCCCCTTGGCAGGTCTGGTGGAAGCCCAGGGTGAGTGCTTAAAACCGGGGATTTTCGGGGATCACGGGACCCTTTCCTGCCAGCCACAGGCATGCCACGATGGATATATTCACTGTGGAGGAATAAGTGTGTTCTTCTTGGCTGTTTCCCATAGTTTCACAGTCTGGGGTGATAGAACTTGGAAACCCCTTTGGATGGGAATTTCAGGAGAAGCCATGCAGGTCCTCACCCTTTTCCACCAGGATTTCACTAGGATGGTACCAGTGTTTATGTGTTTATCCAGCCTCTGTCTTTCCTGGATCTTTTCCTGGTGTGTAAACTTCTTTTTTACCCTTTCCAGGGAGGGTTCCCCTTTCTGTAGAAGAAGTGCTGCTTCTGCCGCATTGGTGGAGTTCTCTGCTTTGTCCCCAGACCCTCCTGGGCAGGACGTGCCTCTCCCTGCTCCCCAGGTGGGATGCGATGGTTTGGAGCTGCTTTGGTTTGGTTTTTCCTTTCCACCTGTTCGCACTGAGGCCCACAGGGCAAGACACAGTGCAGGGATTGAAGCCATTTCTCCCAAGTTGTAAGAGCTCATTGTAAAAAGGGTTTTTCCCACCTGTAGTGACTGGGTCCAGCCCTTCCCAGCCTCTCTGCTGCTGAGCCAAGTTTCAGCCAAGAGTGAAATTTCACAGTTGAGTTAT